AGAGAGAGAGAGAGAGAGAGAGAGAGAGAGAGAGAGAGAGAGAGAGAATGCAAGAGAGAGAGAATGCGAGAGAGAGAATGCGAGAGAGAGAGCTGTGAGCTCAGGGCTGTGAGCAAGTGGGCAGTACAAATTCCTGAGTTAGAGACAACACCAATGGGAAGTGAGCACTGACCTCATATATAAAGTACACTTTGGCCCCCGTGTAAATTCCCATGCGCACCACAGCGCGGACAGCAGCATTCATGCCTGCGGAAGGAAGAGAATCGGCTGTCAGTAAAGAGTGCTTGACCCTGCTTCACCAAGACCTAGGTAAACTGCATAACTGCCAGTACTTGTGTTTCCTCGTGGTCTGTGACCATGACACATACCTCAAGGATTAGTATAGTGAATACAAACACCGGGATACCATGGTAACCCGTATATTGGGGTTCATCTAAGGATGAGACTCACACTGAAAAAGGAGCCTGGGATATTTTTAGTTCAGAATATCACTCATCAACTTGCTGTGGATTTTCCTTTTTTGAGACTAGCCTGAGGCTGAGTAAAGCTTCCAGCTCCTTAGCCTCCTGAGTGCTAGGATGGCGGATGTCTGCTCTGCAGTACAGAATGTTAGGCAACTCCAGACAAACACTACACTAAGAAAAACAGAAGGCTGGTATTGATGGCCAGATTCAAAGAAATTAATAATGAAGCGGGCAATGGGTCTGTGGCTTAAGGAGAAGCTATCCCCCCTAGCTATCTATGTGATTAAAAAAAAAAGTCTTAATTATAAAACAAGTCATGCCATTTTTTTTCTTTTCTATTTTTTTTCTTTTTTTTGGTTTTTCGAGACAGGTTTTCTCTGTGTAGCCCTGGCTGTACTGGAACTCACTCTGTAGACCAGGCTGGCCTCAAACTCAGAAATCCATCTGCCTCTGCCTCCCAAGTGCTGGGATTAAAGGCATGTGCCACCACTGCCCGGCTAAGTCATTCCATTTTTATTAGAAGAGAAAGACAAGCCAGCCTCCTATAAATCTCCATACTTCCTCAAGAGAAACCAGAGGTATTTCCACACTTAAAGAGCAGCAGTGAACAATGTGTTAGAATGAAAAGTCAAGAAGCTCAGTTTTACTTTTCACCGAGATAACAGTTTTTGGAAACTGAAAACTGGCTTTAGTAGCCTGCCCATGGCATAACAGTTGAAGGATCTTGCATCATCTTAGCTCAGGGTCAAAGACCCAGCAGGAGAGAAGGAACAGGGTATAAGAAGAATCATGCCCAGCAAGGATGGAGCCTTCAGCCTCAGGATGAAAAGCAATTGGGCTCTCAGCCAAGGTCCTCCGAAACCACCATTCTCTCCAATTCTCCCATCTTGTGTCTTGAAATTTGGGGAGACAGATCTCAGATGTAGACATGCTATACTACAGAAAGGTAACAAAGGGAAGGTTTAACTGAGTGAGTACACAAAAGGAATGGGAGCTGGGACAACAGCTCTGTCCAGAGTTGATGCTTCACAAGCACGGGAACCTGAGCTCCGAGCCCTACCATCTATGGAAAGAGCCGAGCACCACAGTGTACCTATATTCCGGACAACGAGGTGAAGACAGGAGGATTACTCAAAATTGGGAACAAGCTATTCTGCCCATGTCAGTGAGTTGGAGATTCATTAGCAGACCTTGTCTCAAAAACTAAGGTGGAGAGACACTAAGGGAGGCACCAGGCCTCTGGAATCCACAGTAAATGGGTATATGGCCACACATACATGTACACACATTTTTCTCATTTTTACTTCTGCAAATCACTTAGAAATATGCACATGCCTTTGTCATGTAAAACCAGTCTCAATTTTGCTTTCCATTGAAATCGTATTTTGGCAGAAGATATCCTGTATTGCTGGGCAATGGAGTCACATTCCTTTAGTTCCAGCCGTCAGAAGACAGAGACAGTTGATCTCTGTAAGTTCAAGGCCAGCCTGGTCTACAGAGTAAGTTCCAGGACAGCCAAGGCTACACAGAAGAACTCTGTCTCAGGAAAAAGAGAAAATATCCTGTATCGTTGATTTTGGCTTATAATTAGACATAAAGAGTCAGCCATGAAGGCACCCACCCCTTAAAATACTTGGTAAGGCGCTCAACTGCTGTGCCCTACAGTCTCATCCTCGTTCTTGGACTCAGCAATATGTTTGAAGAGTTTTCTGCCAAGAGAATGACCCTTTTTCCAGAGGTATACATACATGTTCCAAGCTTCTACTCTGCAAAGGTCCATGGGAAGGAAAGCCAAATTGGCGTGGGGAAGAGAGGACTCCTGGCCACACCCTGAGGACTCTCCTGCTATCTAATGTCAGTCAGACAACCCTGTGACATCTGCAGGAACTTCAGCATCATCTTGACCTGTGCTCTGCAGCTGCATCCCTCCTTTAACTTCCTAGCTCTGCTTCTCCAGTCTCCCCACCCACTGCTGCAAACAGAACTACTTGCCCCTCTGTAGCCACAGATGTCTACTAATGACACAGGCATCCTCCAGGGGTAGGGTGAGCTGTGTGTTTGTGTGTTGGCAGAAGGAACAAGATAGCTGAAAGTACAAAGAAAAGGAGGAAGGCGAGTGTGATGGGGAGATGACTGATTCCTTCTAGACTCTGCGGCAAGGAACAGAAAGAAACGTGTGACCACTTCGCATGGGAGATTTTCCCAATGACCTCCAACCCACCAGGAAAGAGCATGCTTACACTCCAGCAGGTGGCCTCAGGCCCAAGGCAGGCTTCCTAAGACTGGGGCTATATAAACTGTATCCCTCAGGGGCTTCTCTGGTGGAGCCTTGAGAGTTTGTGATTCTTCCTGGTTCTTGGCAGCTCCAGAATCCTTTGAGAGGCACATCCCCAAATCCCGGTAGCTTTCATTCACTTGCAAATCAGTCTTAAGTTAAACACCAGGGATCTGCCACCCAGGTCCTTTGGGTGGAGTTCTCTCAACTGCCTCTAAAGGCAGCTGTGACCCCACGCTTAAATAGTGAGAGGGCCCTGCCAGGTCTGAAGCCTCCAGGGGAAGCCTAGGGCTCTCTGTAAGGTACTGACTAGCAATGGATAAGGACATCAATTAAATGGGAAGTGGTGATTTCAGCTTTCACAGTGCTTTAACATAAAGGGTTGTGGTTCGTTTCTGTACTTCAGAATCTCCAAAGTCCAGTTTCAGAGAAGAATGCCTACTGGAGCCAGAATCCTGTCGAACTGCTAAAGAGATTTTAGCCTCCCCCCACCCCCCATGCCCATCCCCTGCTTTGAAAGGAATACAGTTAGTGGGGCAGAGGGCTACATCAAGGTGGGCTCCCTTGGGTGGAAAAGCAGAGTTACATGAACCCCAGGAAGGGTTCGGGGAAGGGCGGACAGCGATCAAGGAGCGAAGAAAGAAACCACTATGTAGACAGGAATCTCTAGAATTTGGGTTTTATAGTCTTCTGGATGAACATCTGTGTTTAGTCATTTGGCTTACGGCTGTCCTTGTCCTTGGCCACCTGGTCATTTGGGACAAAGAGCAGATTCAAAGAGTTTCTACTCACACTCAACCTACTGTTTTTTCCAGAACATAGTCTTCATTCACTCATTTGTTTAGGTTTTATAGTCTGACCGGGGAATCAAAATAACCTTCCTGAGTGTTTCCATTGGGGAAATGTCATCTTCCTCCACAGCAATAAACTTAGTGTTTCGAAAGAAGTCTAAATTCCAGCCCAGTCCTCCCAGGTTTGGAACCTTCTTGGCAGGAATAAAGATAATCTGAAGGGACATTGGCGCCCCTCTCTTTGTCTATCAGATTATAAAAAAATGAACCCTAAGGAATTGGAATTTCTCTTGAATCTTTTGCATAAGGAGAAAGGTTGGAGCTCGGTGCCATCCAGAGAGTAGTTTTCTCTCAGAAAGATATGCACATACTTCTTCTAAGTTGTCAGAACACTTTGCAGTATGAGGGTGTGGTGGCACATGCCTTTAATCACAGCACTAGGAAGGCAGAGATGGTCGGATCTCTGTGAGTTCAAGGCCAGTCTAGTTTAACAAAACAAGTTCCAGGACAACCAAGGTTGTTATACAGAGAAGCCTGTCTCTCAGAAAAACCTGAAAAAAAAAAATAAACATCTTGCAAGAGGGACTGTTGCCTAGACAGAGGTAAGTCACCAAGGGGTGTGGCCACACTGCTTAATTTGGCACATTTCCTGTCTTCAATTTAAGCCTAAACTTGGAAGGTTTTCAGGACCTGGAAGACAGACTTGGGGTAGGGTGGGGCGGGTCTATGAACTTTGTTTCTCCTCAAAGGTATGGTCACTTTGAATAAATCTCCATCTGCTTTTCACTATTAGTGTGTTTAATTGGCTTAATCAGGACTGGGAGCAAGAGCCCCAGTGTGGCACTGCCCCTAACTACTCCAGGTACAGGTACAATCTTCTTATAGAACTAAAACCAAAGAAACGTGGAGATGACAATGGTGCTGTTAGGTGTGTGTGTGTGTGTGTGTGTGTGTGTGTGTATGTGTGTATGAGTTTGTGTGTCTGT